CGAGATCTAACGAATTATCCTGGTATAATCATTTCTCATGGGAAACAAATGATTCATCTCGGTTACCGTTCAATCCATACTGGCATTTATCTAAAAACATTCAAGCTGAAAGTGCATACACTCGATTGTATCAATCCTCAGACAATTCTCAAATGCAAAGATTTATCAGAACGATCGAACAAAATGATAATGTAGAATTAAAATTGGTATTACTTGGAATCTTCATGACCAAATTTCATGCTATGCGAGCTTCACGAGAATTTAATCAAGCAGAACAACGAGCAGCAGATTTTATGATAAACGAAGTTAACAAAATTTATTTACCAATTGCTGCTTATAAACAAATGATTGAAGAAATTATGAACAATAGACATAATTTATATAGTATTGACACTAATATTACTAGCGGTGAACTAGTCATGAAGTCAGTTCTTGTGCATATTGTGGGATTACATGCTTCCATTTCTCAAAATACATCGCCATTAGCTGCTTATTTGCAAGATGCACAAACATGTCAGTCACATTATATTATTGCTTGTCAGTCCGATTACGAAACTGTTTTGTTTAATGCTGTTGCACAAGGTGGAGTAGTAAGGTACGTATATATTTTTTACACATATATTATTATTATATACTTGTATATTAACCAATTTTTAAAAAGGTATAAATGCGATTGTGGATTTAAATACGTAATTGGTGATTGCGGTAGAGCTTGGGTGAAAGCAAAATGTCCAGAATGTGGAAATGTTATAGGTGGATCTAAGCATATGTTGGCTGGAGGAAATGTTCAGCTTGATCAAGTAAAGTCTACCGATTTCAAAGCACAAGATCAAACAGGATATATTGAAGAAGAACCGAATGACCAGCCAAATTATTCAATTCGATCAATGATTCCAGTTTCATATCGAATTATACATCTGTTCGTTCACACTCTTATTGCAGCTTCAGCAACAAAAGCGAGCACAACATTATTCACACAAACTGAGAAAAAATACAGTGATATAATTCAATATTGTTTGGAACATATTAGGTGCGATTGGAATATTCTGAAAAAAGTTCTTGATGTTTCAGATGAGAATTTGGCACTATTGATTCATTCAATACTAAGCACTATGGCCAAAGAACAATTTCCTCAACAAAAAGCTGTGCTTAAAACATCAGAAGAAAGAGAAGATTGGATTGAACGGTAACCGAGATGAATCATTTGTTTCCCATGAGAAATGATTATACCAGGATAATTCGTTAGATCTCG